TGTTTTGGGTGCTGGGATGAGAGATTTTGAGACTTGAATATTTTTTTATGATGTGTTTTAGGGATTGCATTAAATTTTGTGACTTTAAAATGGATTTTTTGAAGGTTAACGTTGTTAAAGTTCAGTTGACTACATGATTTGAGTATGTCATTGGGATCATGTATGTTCTATGTCCAAAATTAAGGCAAGGAGTGTTTTAAACTTATTAAAAGAGAACGAAGAAGGTGAATGGTACTCAAAAATTGCAATAAATCTAAAACTCATCAAATGGCATCAATCCAAATGGCTTCAACTAAAGATGCTCGGATGAGAACACAAAACCCCAAAAACTCATTCCAGCCTGTCATTTATCGAAGTTCAAGAACATCCAATAGTTGTGAATGTTCTTGACATTCTTATTAATAAACATCCTGACTTTATTGACTGCTTTAATGATTAGTTGATCTTCAAAGACTGCATTTAAGGTCTGTCAACTTGTTGATTGATTGATTGACTTGTTCAATAACTGTTTGATTGGAAATCTTAGGTCAACAATTAATCACTGTCAGAGTAATTGAATTGAATTAAAATTAAGTTCTCAAAATTATTTTGTAGCTTGAAATTTGGACTGTAACTTTAGCTGAGCTCAATTGAGTCAAAAAGGAAAGACTAAAAACAGCTTGCCAAAGTCGAAGCTTACAAATTAATCATATTTAGCATTCATTAACCTAATTCAGTCCATCTACATATTAATTAATATACGTACCTTATAATGACACTAATGGTACCCATTCTAATGTCATTTTACTTCCTATTCCAAGCTCTAAACATGTTGTGATTTTTTCCAATGTCATGTTCCATTTTTTTCTTCGAAACTTGTAAGCATGAACCTCTATTTTGCATCTATTTCTTGCATGTAAAGTTGTTCACTTCTTTTTATTTCCATATTTTTATGTTCTGTCATGAATGATTTGAAAAATATTATGTATAATGTTACAAATTAAATATTCTATAAGAATTTCTATGGTCACGTTTTGAAGATTACCGCGCATTCAAGCGATCGGTCTGTCAGCAATAAATTTCTATTTTTCTGTTGACTTTTTTTTCTCTCTCCTTCCTTTGTTCTGCTTCTCATGAATGAATGAGGGATTTGAGATGGCAATTTGTGTGTGTTATTTTTTACAATCAATATTATTTATTGTTTACAGTACACGGAGATGAGGAGGATCTCAAGATGTGCCTTTTTCATTGCTAAATCCATACACGAAGAGCATTTAATGTCATAAAGTATCAAACAATTGCCGCGTTTATTTTCATTCTTGGGATATATCCTCGTTATTTATTTCCTTTCGTGCGAATCTTTCTTTTTGCGTAGGTATCGCTTTGTGCTGACAATAATCGACAAACATTTACTTAATTTTTTCCTTCTTCTTTTATTTGATGATTCTTGTCGTTTCTTGATGATACTTTTTTTTTGCAATATCATCTAATGTATTGATATATCAGCATTGGAAATTTTATTTTTAAGAAATTTCACTGGGAATTGAAATTGAGCTGCTTTTTGAGAGATTGCTGTTTAAAGTTAAAGATTCTTTGATTGAATTTGAGTTTGAATCTTTCTATAGTGGGAATTGAACCCACGTTCTTACAAATTGAGGACACTCGACCACCAAGACCTTACTCTTGCATTAATTAAATCTCCTACATATAACTCAATATTATTCTCAGACCCATTCGCCTCAATACTATTCCCAGATGACATTCGATGCACATGAATTATTACAACTCTGGAGCAATGCCCACAAAAAGGAAAAGCTCACCACATACGATGAAAAATTGAATGATAATCATATAAACACACAATCATTTTTGTGTTCAGTCAACTTTTTATTCCTCAACAATTTCCAAGCTTGAGAATTTCACATGCGTATTTACAGTCGAACATACATCCACATAAATAATTTATGACATCAACAAAATAACCAAATCATCATCAATCAAAATACATTTTCTAAATATGAAATGTTAAACATGAAGGTTTAATGGGCTTCCGTTCCCGTACTCGGGAGAAATGAAATTACGAATGCCATACATTTGACCAAAAAAGAATTGGGTATGAAAAAAAAAGAAAGAATTTCAAGTGGAGATGTATGTTGTGATTTCATTTTTCGACATGGGGTAGTGCCTGTCGTAATGCTCACAAAAAAATACAAAAGGCAACTTTTAGGCTTCACTTTTCACATTTACGGTGGTTCCTTCTCGCCATAATAATATTTACAGTCGACCACATGAAATAAAGAGCAATGTTGTGTTGAATCATAATGAAATACGAGTTTTTCGGTGCTCACCTTTCTTTTCATACCACCTACATACATTACCTTTGTGTTCTTCTTAAATCACAGCTCCATACCTTCCGATTTTTATTTCATTTTGCGATTTTCCTTTTTTAGCAATGATGTGCTGTATTCAGGGATGGAGTCAGACAAAATTTTTGAATTTTTAACCTTCAAAGTTTGAAATTCTTAACCAAAAATTTTTAGTTCCACTTCAAAAAGATTTTATAAGATTTTGACTTAATTAAGGATAATTATTCTGAAATTTGTGGGGCATGTGACTTAAAAAAGTGGCAAAGATAAAAAACAATCAAAAGAAACTCTAAAACACCCTCCTCCTGACTACGTTTCTGTCTTTATTATTTCAGAACACTCAACAGTCCTCTCAGGAATGAAATTAGACCTTTTTACACTTGCATGTATTTATAGAATTACTTCTTAATACAGGATTAAGTATCAATTAACGAATATCTGGGAAGAAAAATGGGTTTTATATTCCATAAGACTTTTCAGCTTGAGATAGGTTGATTTTGCTGTAGTGAAGTTTTAAAAGCACTAATGTAAGCTTTACCTTGAAATGCTTTCAGTTTCGTTACCTTCCTGACCATATGACAAATGACAATCATGTGTCAAATAATAAGCGAGGGAAATTCCTTTTGAAGGACTAAATATCCACAAAATGAATTTTTATTTCATGGCCACTCCTAATTCGGGTCATGACGTCATTAAGAACAATAAGTAGATTTATGGCGGTGGTGAGAAATCGTAAATTTCGTTTAGTGCTATTTAATTTGTTCTGTGGATTTGTTTTGGACTCGCGTTTTGAATGTGTAATCCATATCATAGAGGAAATAGGTTGCTAACGATTGTCTGTAAAAAAAATCTATGAAATATAATGGAATCGTAATATTCAAATGCACGAAAAAGTTAAGAGTCTGGTGAATCCATGATTTTGTTGTCACAGGAAAGGTTCGATTCTAATCGAATTGCCAAAAAACAATGATTTATCAAATTAACCTTTACAGCCTTGCAATGAGTGAGTTCCATTCTGAGTCTCAAACTGAGTCTCTGCGAGTCATGTTCAGGCTTCATCTAAACAAGTTCAAACTTGATCTTAAAAAGGTTTCAAGGTATCAATTTAGTTTGGTATAAAGCCTTAGCAACCAGTTAGATATCAACTCTAAGTTATCCGTTATAATTTTCCCTGAAATCATAAAAACCTTAACAATGTAAAATTTCAGCGTTGCTTATTTAAATATTGAAACTTATACTAAAGTACAAACATGCTGTTTCATCAATAACTTTAAAATCATCTTTCCTTCACATTCCATATTTCACATGAACATACAATAAAGTAATCCGATTGTATAGCTGATGTTGCTCTGTAAACAATCCAAAAGTATCAAGAAGTAAATGCACAAATATTTTCAAGCATGAAAATTTTATTAGAAAGCAAACACATCAAAAAAAGTTATTTCTTGTTATAAAATTTCTCTTCCTTGATTTTATTTATCTATCAATTAGAAAATCTTTCAACATTACATTAATTTTAGAAGTGTATATAATTTCATATATGTATGTATATATAAAGAAAGTAAGAAGTAAGCATTATTTACAGAAAACAATGAGACGAGAAAAATAAAAATCAGTGCGAGAAGTTCCGTGTCAAGATCTTTGACATGGAAACCAGAAAGAAAAAAATCTTGAAAGGATCCTTTTTTTCACTCGTCATCCCTCTTTTATAATTTTTCTATTTCAATCTCTCCTTCCAGTTATTCTTTGAACAACAACAGCAGAAAATAAAGAAAAAAAATCTAAAAGACGTGTTGTTTTTTGAGCATTAACACCCCCCATCCTCCTTTTCACACACTTTTCACGTCCATTTAGTAAATTTTATTTCATTTTAGCGCATTTTCTCGATTTGATGTTGCTTTGAGGAAGTCGTTTGGGACTGTTAATGGCTGACTGGGTTTTGTTGGATTTGAATTTTGCACAACAAAACTGATTTATCATTTAGAAGCTTTGCTTACACTAAATTTTGTTTGGTATAATCTTGATCTATGCATCAAAAGCAACAATAATCAAAATTTGGCAGCATTCCTTTAAACTAGAGATTTTTGAATTGCTGACTTTATAGTTTAAACAAATTGTGAAATATTTTGATGATAATATTGTTGTCTGAATCAAAACCTCTAAGTACAGGATCATGATCAGCAATCTTTAAACTCAATTTGTCATTCTATCCTTCTTTCCTATCACACTAGAATCTTTAAGCATTGTCAACCTTTAAATATGATTCTAATGTAGATCAATCTTTAGTGAGATTCAAACTCACACCTTTAAAATCTTAAGTTTTCAAAATGAATCACTTGACTCAAAGTCATGAGAAAATGCGCTAGTAACCACTCAAAAAAGAACATTACATCAATGATTTACTAACTAGTTTTTCAACTTCCCTTCCTTTCTTTTCTCTCTTTTCATTCTGCGATATAATTCACTTTTCAATTTCATTTTGTATCACGTAGGCATGAGAGACTTAAGTAAGTAAGTAAAAGTATAGAATTCAGTATATATATATAATCAGTTCTGTAAAATTGAATTTTTACGTCACGGCCACGTGTTCTTCATTTATCCATTAAGCATGTCGGTTTAATGTAAAATGAGATATACCGAAATGTGATATGATGATTAAACACAACTCTCTGGAACTTTGGCGTTCATGAGGCGCTCTTTAATTTCTTCATTTATCGATTTTGCAGCATGCCTTGATAGCGCCGATGTGCTTATTAGGTGAAAACCCTGTCAGAAATGATGATTGTGGTCATTAATATAATAAAATAGCAAAATACAGCATATAAAGAATAAGCGATGAGCGAAAAATCAAAATAAATTGAGTTAAAGTCGTTAAAGAAGGAAAAGGAAGAAAAAAAGCTTGAAAGTTTATGTTCTGGTTGTCCCAGTAGTATCCATATCCATTTTGAAGACGAGAAGATGAAGAAAAAATAATAAAAAGAAGTTCACAAAAAAGTCAGAAGAGAAAGATGAAGCAACAAAAAAATTCTTTCTGAACTCAAACTAAATAAAAGTTTGATGTAGCTTGCCAAGTAGGAAATTCTTTTTTGTGATGATCTAGAATTATTTATGCTGGATCATAGAATTTTATGCATGCTTTTTGTAAATATTGTGAATCTTATTGCTGCTGTAGAGAATCAGGTATCTTGTGTCTTTGTGAAGCCATTGATAAGACGTTTGGCTTAAAATTTGACATAACGACATGAAGGTCGTAGGTTCGAATCCTCTCATTTCAAAATTTGAATTTTTTCGAGAGCTTAAATTAGAGCTTAGACTCCTCAAAGCCCGGAATCAGGACCAAATTGAACATCTGAGATATTAATCATACGAACGGGTCAGACTTGATATCAAGTATCATCACTCAAGACACTAAGTCAAAACTACGATCGCTATATTCAAAACTTTACCAATCAACAATTTAAAGATACAACAGAGTTCCATAGATTGATATAAACGGTTATTGGTTTGGTATTGACCTTGCCAACAAACTCTCGCATTCCAAATTCCCTGAATAAACAAGAGTAAATGATTCCCTGTCCAGAATGATTGATGGATATTCCAATTTTCCACGAATACCATCCACATTTTATCCACACGTGTCACTTGACCCATTTCGAGTTGAAGTTGATATCTCTCAAAGGGAACAAAAAGCAAGAACATGAAGAAATTCTGAAGCTTCACGAGCTTTATAAGACATACTGAAAATTTTCATCTTCCATCTCATGTATCAACCCAATTCAACAGCCAAAAGTAAATATGTGCATGCTCGTTCGTTTGTATTTCTGGGAAATTGAGACTCATTTTTTCATCTTTGAATGTCTCCAACATAAACAAACTGGACTAAAAGTATATATATTTAGTCAACGATGGAAGGAAAAACAGAAGTTTTTCAGAAAGTAGAAGATGTCTCCCTTGGCAATTTTAAATTCTCACAAGGAGTCTCGTTGTGCTCAATATACAGTGAAAATATTTTTTTTGTTCATGTTTTACCGAAAAAATGTAGAAGCAATGATCAAGGGGTGATGATGAGCTGATTTTTGGTTGATCCATTAATGAACTCATAAAACCTCGTCCCTAAAGATGGAAATTTAAAGGGTCTTTTGTAAAAAATTTAAATTCACATTCGAGAATGACGGACCCTCCTGCAAAAGAATTCCTGAGTCATTTTTTATACTCTTACATCCATATAATGAGATTCCTAGCACTTTACAGTTAATAAATCATAAACAAAACCATAAAAAATTCTAAACATTAATAAATCACCATCCCTTGCTGAACAGCATCATGTCGTATTCCTTCCAGGACGAATTTTGGACAGTACAATGAAATTTAAGCTGCTATGAGCGCATAAAGATTCACTCAAGAATGAAAGACATGGAAGATAATAATATGAAAAAGGGAGAAAAAGGAAGTGCCTGGGCTTAGTTAATGCCGTTGTTTCCCATCGGGCGTATCAAATTTTTAAGATTAAATAGAGGCTGGATACATAGGGGTATGTATATGATATACAAGAAGTCTATACAATGTACATAAAATATAAACGCGAATACTGTTGTTCCCTTTTAAAGTTTATTTAAGGCACAAAAAAAGGGAGCTCATGAAAAAATAAAGAATTTTTTCTTCTCCTGCTGTGGATATTTTACTTGGGGAGCCGGAGCAGTACATGAACACTCATGCACACATAATCAAAACGGAAAAGTTAAAGGAGGGGTAAGTAAATAAAAAGAAATTCATTCTTACATCTTGCTGCTGAAAAGATTTATAGCTGTATGGCTCCTCTGCAGTAGATATCGATGAGCCTATAATTAATGTTTACGAGATTAATTTAGACATATTATTGGCACTATGAGATTGCATTTCGTATAAACTTAGGATTACATTGAATTATTTATTATTTACCATACTGATGATACGTTGGAATCAGATCGGGATCTCTATCGTCATCGAATATTGGCTTGTTGCTTTTGAGACTATTTGTTGGCGATGTAAATGTGGTGATTGCCTGCCCGCCGTTGCTTATCCCATTTTTCTAAATAAATACAATTATTGTATATTACAAATTAGATTGAGGAGGAAATATAATTACATGGAAAGTTAATTAGTCTTAATGACGAAACGTAAATGAATGTCGACCATTATAGTCAATAAAGTTAAGGATCTCTTTCGTTTATGTGTACTTTTTTATGCTGTATAATTTTTGATGTTAATTTGTTTTCCGTTTAAAGTCAGTAAAAAGAGTAATGATGGGAGAGGATTAAACTTTTTTTTTATGGATTTGCTTTCAACTCATTCTGGATGGTAAGATGACTTCATCATATCTTGTATTAATAAAGGTATCGAACCCTAGCTTGTTATATCGGCAACACTCCAAAGTAATGCGATAGATTAAATGATCTGGCTCTATGCAGGAATCGAACCAACGTCGTTATGAAACTTTCCAAGCAGATGCAGGTTGCCTAACCATTCGTCCTTAAAGACATTCCTCCTGCTCTAGCAGATTCGACTTCACATGGTTCGAAACCTCATTTACTTATTAAGTTCTTATTTAGAGGAGAGTTTGAGTTTATAAGTCAGTTTCTCACAAGATCGATTTCGTAAACGACTCCCAAAAAGACTGAAATTCCCATTCCTACTTCCATTCCCAAAGATTCTCATAACCTTAAAACCAAATTCTGTAACAAATTGTTTAACAATTTTTATATAAATTATTTCCGTTACTTCCACCAGCTTATTACCAAGTAGCATGCCACAATAATCATAAAACTTTACGACTATGACTTCTAGTGAACAAAATTATTACAATTTAACCGAATGGGTTGTCCTGACGATAATGATAATTATGTAAGACACACACATAAAAATATTACAATATACACTTACTTTGCCAATACTTCCATTATAGCTGCTAATTATTAACAAATTATTTGAATGATTTGTCAATTTTGTCGTGCCATTATGGTCATTGTGCGAAAGATCTGTTGTTGCTGCCGTCGTCATTCCAGTTGCTGACCTTTTTGATGAGTCTTGTGTCCAACACATGGACATTATTTTAAATGCAATAAATATAAATACAATGAGAATCGTTGCAATAATTCCTATGAAATATGGCGTCGTCTCTTGTGAGCTTACAACAATTAAATTATCTGGGAAAAAAGAGAAAATATGACAAATATGATAGTAAATTTTTATTAAGTTTCGAAAAAGTTGAGGGGGGAACAACTTGATGGGGAACAACTTGATGGGGAAAACAGTTGATGAAAAAAATGGAAAATGAGTCGAAATTGATCGTTAAAAGTCAATAAATTTTTTCAACAATTTTGATTTTTTTTTTTCCACCAAGTTGTTATCCCCCTTACAAAAAATTTTAAGCAAAAAAACTTTGTGAATGAAATTTTGTCGACTGGATCCAGCAAAATATTTCAATTATCTCGCATGCAACTTAATTAGTAAATTTTGTTCCGTACCTCTATCTATTTTTACAACAGCACCAAGCTCCAAATCACGAATGATAACAGGTGAGCTTCTACCTTTTTGATTAACAGCGTAAACAACAATTAACACGGAGTCATTCTCTTCTATCAGCTTGGCATTAATTAACTCTAGCATATCTAACACGAAAAATGGCTCATCAGCATTTGTAAAATTGTATCTAGCGGATGATGATGTCAGAGAGAAAATAAACAAAAAATTTGACATTTAATTCATAAAATAAATAATCTAGAAATGAGAATGCATTTGTAATTACTTGATTGCTTTATTTCTCCTTGATATCATTTCAAGTAGAAAACGTTGCGGGAGTCCTCCATCATGGCCTGATGTACACAGTATCTCGGCTACTTCTCGAGTATAATTACTAACGCTGCAGTTTATGACAGGTGATGGAGTGACTGTAAATGGAAAATTTTCACTGTTATAGTTTTTATTTTCACATTTTTATCTACTCGAGACTCCATGGTAAGGCAGAAATTGTTATTTTTCCACCTCCGCACACACAACAGCAGCTAGCATTGGAATGTTCTAGGATTTGCTGTTCAGGTAAAATGATGCTGTATCTAGAGCACTTTGGAACGAACAATTTTTGTGTCTGGTTTTGAGTGATTTTTCTTTAGAAAAGTTCTTCGAGTTTGGAGAGTTTATTTTTTGTTTATAATTGCTTTTGGAAGTTGCTGTTTTTGTGGATAAGTTCAAGGTTAATGTGAAAAGTCTAATTTTGATTCTTCAGATTTTTATTTTGTCATGCGGTTAATCAACAAAAATTATTCTTTATGTCTGAGAATTTGGAGGTTAAAAATTGTTTGAAGGTAATCAAAACATTCATTGAGGTTTTTGCGTATTTAATGTATTAGAATTGAGATAGAATCGTATTCAGCATTTATGCTGCATGCAATTCTTGTCCTAGTATTGAAAATACTCATCATGGGTTATTCTAGATTCTGTATAACGCCATGTCTGGGTAGTTCTAGTATGAATGGAACTTACGTTTCTGAAACTCTCTCAAAATCTTTTGCTTGCTAGTGGGATTCAAACTTGGAATAGTTCAAATTGATAAGTAACTTTTGTGACCCACATCTTACCAACTAAGCTATCAAGACACTCTAGCTCCTTAATGTAAGATTGCTTATTAATTATATTTATACTTTCACCTGACTCAAGCATGTTTGGTAGGAACACTGACTCAATGGTATCTATTTGAACTTTAAAAAGTTGAAAATTCAAATTTCTTAGAAAACAGGAATTAAAATTATTCTGACCTTACTCATGCCGACCACAAAAGGCTAAATCAAAATCATTTCCATTCCCAACATAAACTCGAACAAAACTTTGACACATTTATTGTCCATTGTGACATTTTAACTTGTTTCTGACACATTTCCATACTTGTTGGTGTGCAAGTTCGAAAATGATATGACATTAATGGTTATTACCTGCCAGAACAACTTGAAATAAGCAACTAACAGATTGTTCACCAATCTCATTTATCGCCCAGCAAGATAGCGTACCAAAGTCCTGTGGACAGAGCAGAAAAAAAGTTTAAAATATATTTTTTTATAGTGAAACTTTAAAGCTTGTATTTTATTATTGTGACTGATCATATTACATTGTCACAGAGAATAAAATGGAAAATGTAATATGAGGATATGAAAATTATAAAACAAACCTGCTCGGTGACGGGTGTATAATGGAGAATACTTCGTGTTCCATTTTTACTATATCGCTCCGAGTCAAGGAATAAAATTTCACCCGAATTATTGAATTTCCATCGGAATTTTCTGTAAAATAAATGATTTTTTTTTGGTTTGTTTTAATTTTTGTCATGACATAAATTACCTAGCTGGAGGATCTGCATTTATATCACAAATAATTTCAACATTCTCATCTTTGGCAGCACCAATAAGGACAACTTTCTCAGTCGCGCATACAGGGGCATCTAAAGAAAGAGTCATATTTAGAGGTTTTAGACTAAAATCTTATATTTCAGCAATGGGGCAAGTTTCATGTCCTATAATCTTTAATTCACTAAACATAAGCTATGCCTTCACAAAAATGTACCAAATAAAGACTCAAAATTTGTAAGTTTGAAGACATTTTACGCTTCAAGCACTTGAAAAGGATTAAAATTAGAAAGGAAACAAGGTCGATTTCTCTCTCTTTTTAGAGCCATTTCTACAAGGCAAAAAAGAACCAAAGGCAGAGGAAATTAAAATAAAGTGTAGGAAGTTCGCAGCTCCCTTTTTTCATTTTTCTTTAATAGGATCATAACAAAAAAAAAAGTTCATTCATTTCCTTACATTTGACCCTCAGTGGAAGCTGATTGCTTACGGTTTCACCTTCTGAATTCAAAGCGCTACAGGCATAGTTTCCGCTTGAATTCCGGGTAATTTTTTGTAGCACCAGGCTTTGATTAGATCTAATTATACGAGCCGATGCATTGTGCGTTAAATGAAGACCCTGAAAAAGAGAAGAGAAGTAAAATTTTTTGGACGATTAAAAAAAATTCAGCTCAACAAAATTTTCCAATGTGGATTGAATCTTGCAACTTGTACTTCCGTCTTAGCATTTTTTTTATATTCTGGTTTATGTATTTTTTATGATTCTCTGAAAGACGGAGATATTGTACGATGAAAAGGCGATTTCAATGCTTAACTTTTTTTAATGCTTTTAAAGGAAAGAAGGAGGAAAATTTGAAAAGATGGGCGATGATTGAAGGATTGTGACTTCCATGTGAATGTTTCTATGACTCTTTTGATTTTTTTTGTTTTTGTTTTGAAGAAGGGGTGGGGAGGTGTTTGTCCAAAAAACAAGTAGGATTCACCATCAAAAATTTCTAGCTACACCTGACTAGTGTCGCACAATGTTCAGGATGGTCATCAATATCATTAATAGGGACGTAACCAGAAGAGCGGGTGTTTAGGGTCACCCCCGAACCCTCACAGACTTTCTAGCTACGCCCCTAATCATAAATCAATCATTCAGCACGGAAGTCAATAAATTCTTTCAATTTTAATCCGCAAATGGATGCAAAATCGCATTTTTTTCTCTTCTATTTTGCCTCTATAAAAAGCTGACTTTTATACCACTCTTTTATATTTCAAATCCGCTTCTCATTACGAAGCATAAAAAGATGTGAGAATGAAAAAATATTGAGGAAGAACAAGTCTTAAAAAAATATATTCTCTGCAAATGCTTCATAAAAAGAGTTTATAATGAAAATTTTCCTTTGAAATCGGAAATGTTTTGAGGGGAAATGAGAAATAATATTAAGAGGATAATCTATAAAATTTAATAATTTTAATGCAAAAATCAAGGTTGATGAAAGTTTATTAATTGATAAGATTTTAGCAGATTTGTAAAGTTATGGCACTAGTTATCTAGTTTTGAAGAGTCTTAGGATCAATTCATATATCCAATAGATACAGGGGCGTAGCCAAGCATTTGGGAGGGGAGGACAAAAAAAATTTATATGGAAAATTAAGGGAGGAGGGGGTGATTTTTAGGATTTTTTCATAAAAACATAAATAGAAAAATGAAAAAAAATCTGTTGACTTGGGGGAATTTGTTACCAACCCCCCCCCCCCCCCCCCTTGTTACGCACCTGGGGAGATGTATTGGTAATCGATCAGAATGTAAAGCAAGAAATTTTTCGAGGTTAAGAAAAGGGACGAGGAGTTAAAAAGATATAGCAATGGGAGAAAATCCCCGCCCCCCCTCCTCTTCCGACTTCTTAAATTATATTTTAATTAGAACCACGATTGCCTTAGCATCATCAGCCCTCCCACAGGAACTGCCTACACAAATAAATGCATCATCTCTGAATTAATAATTCAACATTATTCCAGATAAAAAAATCTCAATTTTATGATAAAATTCTCTCATCATGTTTATCTTTAATTTTCTTCAGCCTTAATATTCCATAAATATGTATTTAAAATGGAAATGAGATGATGAAAAATGTAAAATCAATATAAACAAAAAGAAAAGCTTATATTTTTACTTACATTATGAAGCCACGAGAGCTTTGTAAACTTTGGATTTGCTTCGACATGACATTCAAAATACACATCATCTCCCTCCTTAATATCATCATTAGAGAGAGTTGATCCTAGTTGGAGAGTCACTAGTGGAGGATCTGTAATAAATATATTGAATAATGATGAAAGTTTCATAATAAAAAGATTTAAAGAAGAAGTTTCAGTTTTCTGAAGTTTTTTATGAATTTAAATAATAGACAAGTAAGGAAGTTATTTGAGTTGAGTGGTTGAAACGCATTCTGTTAAAATTTATATATTGACTATTTCTGTTCTTTAATATTTTAGTGTTATAAGAGATTAAAAGTAAAAGAGATAAGGAATTTGTAGATTAAAGAAGTGCTAAGCAGAGCTAGAAGTCGATAGTGGTTCAATTGAAGCCAACTCGACTTCAAGCTCTAATGTTACCACCAGATTAAAATTTTTAAGGTTTTATAAGAATGTGGGTTCGATTCTCATTAGAGCTCTTGTTATCAATCATTTCAAAAACTTAGGAATTGAGCATATTTGCCCAAAAAAGCACTAATTCAGCATAACTTAGAGACAGACATATTCAAAAATAGACAGAGCTTACCGCCATACCTAGCCTCTCCCAAAATCAGCAATAAGAAGAATATTGTTCTCAATATCAATGTTTGCAATCAACTTATGAACTCTATAAATCTTTTTCAAGACTTAATAACTGTGTAGGTAGGATGATGAAGAAAAAGTAAGTCGAATTCAGCAGATATTATTTGAATCTTCTTCTTAAACATTGTGTACATAAAATTTTTAAAATCTATTTCGATCTCTTCTATTTTTCCTACATTCAAATTCGAGCTTTTATGATTTTTCAATTAGAGTGCATTTGAAAAGAAATGTGAACATTTCGAGCTCGTTAAAAAGTTCCACATTCATGAATGTAGTTCAATCTAAAGTGAACATAAATTTTCAATTTTATTGCTCACACGAGAATTATTGAGAAATATTTTTTTTTCATGTTCACACCACGGTCGATAAAGTTTTAAATCAAAATTGATGATATTTATTTTTAATGGTCGAAAGAAGCTTTATGTTAAGGGTCTAGTTAGGATCTGTTTGGTATTTCAAGCGAAACTGAGTTTCGGAAACTCTTTTTGGAAGGACTAGTGAGCTTCTGCTAGGAAGTTTGAACGCAGGTTTAAAATTTATGTCAGCTTCTGTTTTTTTTTGTAGGCTCGAGCCGACTAGAGCTAGCCTTTTTCATATGTGTGAATTAAGACTCTACATTGAGTTTAAAGCCTTTCAAATAAAGCATAAGCACACAAACCTAGTAAATTACTAGCCATTCCGTAAGAAAATAAATATTGCCAGGTGTGAACATGCCATAAATCCTTCATGCCTTCATTACTAGCTTCTGTTGTATTCTTTGCTTTTTTCCGCCACTACACTTCTTACTGCTTGTGTGGCATAATGTACAGTACGAGTAACAACATTTTTTTTGGAAGGAGAAATAATTGATCCCATGTGTTACAGCTTCAACTTTCAAACGGCAGATCGTTAGATTCCATTTGCCTAAGCAAGACATAAATCGTTGAAAATAAATTACTGAAATTATGATGCATTTTTCATGGGTGGATGCTAAAGGAAATAAAAAAAAAATCTCCTTGTGCTGCTTGTTGTGAAACTGACTCTAATAGAATCCCATTAAATTGAAATTTATGTTTATTTTCATTTTGTTGCCTTTTTTTGTGTGCTGAATGCTTTCAGCTTCTCACATTCAAACCAGCTATAATGGTGCTGGCTTCAATATCACTCCATAGAGATAGGTCCATGTTAACGTCAATATTGATAAGTGATTGATTTTAAATGTTCGTTATTATGCAAGAATATTTTATGAGAGTTCAAAATAATAGCACGAGGAAAGGTAAAGCAAGGTAATGTTTATTCAGTGCCATTTTTCACAGCAAATTGTGATCTATTTGTGGCTGATTGACTGAGCATCTGTTTTGAATTTTATTGATTCTTTTGATTTCGAATTGGAATTTACATTTATCGGGTATGTCATGTGGTTTGATCAAATATTGGAACTTAACAATTTAGACACATTATTCTATAATTATGAGCTATAGGCTAATATCATCTGCACATAAAAAGTCAATAAACTTCACTTACATTAGCTAAGATCAGTTTGACATCACATGTCGATATAATTCCTCACGAGATCATTAAGGTGATTGACTTTACATTTTAGAGAAGCGCGTGACAATGAAGCTTTCTAATAAGAAGCTATTGTACATTGTACAGAATACCCCAGAGAAACACCAGACATGCAGGCTACAAATTGCCTTCTTGCTAAGAGTACTACGGATTAATTGACCATTATAGTTAATTATAGATGTAAATATAATTTTCTTGGGTAACAACTGCTCATTAAAAATCTTGAATTGCTTTCAGTTCATTAATTTTTTTTTGCTAATGCAAGAATTTGGATACTTTAGGAAGTTGTGGAAGACGTAATTAAAATTTGAGAATTTTTAATTTCTTGATCCTTCAAAATGGAAATGTTTAAGGCACAATCATTTATATTTGAAGAATTGAGTTGTTTAGAGCCAGCTGCTTGGTATATACCCAAGAAACCAGCCCAAAGGCATTGCAATTAAGTCCCATCAAACGTTCAATTTCGATCAAACTCAACCAGTCACTTACCACTTCTAGTATCTGTATTCAACAAGACACATGCTAACCAATAAATAGGAACAGAATTTATTCAATTCATACAAATGCCTGAAGAGCAAAAAACGAATCAGTCCTTCCTACATATTGATACTGAATTGAATGTAGATACAACTTTATAAATTTTTCAAATATTTAATGTGATATCTATCTCGACTTTACTATATATCAAGATGATATGATATCACGACGAAGCAGCAAGAAGAAGATGAGGAAAAAAAATCAAATTTAATTGAACAGAATGTGCTTAACACGATACTCAACATCAAATACAGGATAGAGCTTTTCTTTGTGAATTCTATGAATGAGGAATACTTTGTGAAATTTTTAAGTAGGGGGGTAACATGTTGAAAATATCAAGGAAGCTTTTTGGGTTGTCCATAAATGATGACTTTAGGAAGAAAGTGGGGGCAAGGGAATAAAGCTGACACTTTGAATCAGCTATTTCCAAGGCAACCCTTAAATAGGGTCATTCGCCAATACCTAGAGCCCAAGTTGACCAGAAGGAAGCTGTTATTGTACAGGTAGGTCGAGTATAGTCGTCATAGAGCTCTCATGACATCCCACCACCGACCAAGTACTCATTTCTCGATAGATATTTGTAAATAATACTATTCATCCATGAATTTTATTATAATTCACTAAAAGCTCTTCCTTAAAATCCCAAAAATGTCTCAGTCACCTTCCCCCAATTCAAAAACTTGTATCTCATTCAATCCAATCCCTTTTTCCACTTTCGTACTTTATTCTGCTTCCAAAAAGAGAATTATGGATATAGAGTAAAATAGATGAAGTTGAACATTGAATGGATGTGAATATAACAAAACTTACAGACTACGCTGAGTTTATGTGTTGCTTCGAGAAAGAGTCCGCTCACGACGGGGTTCTCCGCTCGACACACTATAAATTTTCCATCATCCTCTACAGTAGGTGAAAAGCTTAGTTCCGATTTTGTGGTATTATTTAAAATCTCATCCTATAAAATTCATCGTAGTTGCAGGCAGCATTAAAGAGAATAAAGAAAAAGAAAAGGAGGGCATTAAAATGAAGATGAAAGAAGGAAAAAAATTAACTTTATCTGCTCTCGTTGCTCTCGTCGCTTTAATGTGAATGTACTTGGGTCAATTATTTTTACTAAAATTATTTTTATTCGTAACTTACACGCAATTTGTCCATTAATTCAATGGCCTGATTGCTGATAAATTTAGAAGATTAATTTGTAGAATGATTTGAGTCAGTCTCTTGTAAAGGTCAAATTGCTGATAATTAAGGTAATTGATTTTATTTTGGATAATTTAAAATTGACACGATTGGCATTCGATGGACGTGGAATGTGATATGAGATTTAATCTTGGATCTTTGTTCTTAGTACTGACAAATCAAGACTCTTAGGATCCTTCAAAATCAAACTTAAAATGCTTCAAAAACTCCAAGATTTGTTAATGTCATTCCAAACTTTCTCATATCCCCATAACACCTTTATTCACATTCACATACGACAACATTGAAGAATAAGAGCAAAAGCAGAGGAAAAACTTTTTTTTAAAGATATAAGATGATTATAATGATTATCTTGTTCAAGTTGTAATTTACCTTCGTTCGTCTCAACTGACGTTTTCCCTTGTACCATGTTATTATTGCATTTGGCCTTGAACCCGAACTCTCACAAATGATTTCGTATCTTCGATCTGCAACCATTCTTGTTGGTGGTCTTCTTATTTCTACTGTTAAAGGCTTTACTGTTTTATTTATGAGGATGAAAAAAGAAACGAGAATTTGAAAATGATGAAAAACAATACAAATTTAAAGAAGGATGGGAAGTGATAGGAAGGAAAATGTGGGGCACTTATAAAGACTCGATGAATAAATTTACATCTTTTCGCATACAATTTATTTGTGTTTTCTTTTCTTCTTTATTTCCATATTCCAATTTCCACATGAACACATTTTTCTTGTTATCAATGCATAAACAACAAATTTTGTAGACATGAAGCCCATGATACCTAGATAAATAAGAATGACTTCGGGCATTGATAGGGTACAAATTGTCGAACGACATGTGGAAAGGAAAGAAACTTCAGCTAACAATATCAAAAGTTTAGTGAGAAATGGATTGTTGTTGATATACAATTTGATGCTTTTGATGCGGGATCATTTGTCAATGACGTATAGGGAAGATTTGGTTTTCAACAAGGTTGAGCTTCTTTTAGGAATCGAACTCATACCAACACATCAAAGAGAGATACAGAGTTCCAGTCTAATGTCTAACCACTCGGCAATTAAGGCCTTACTCTTACACTGGCAGATCCGCTTATATATGACTAGATACCAACGTTTTTGGTTAGTCGAAATTGAAATCTTAGGTAGAAAATGCTTTTTAACCTGCGTCGTTAAGATCATCAAAATAAAAAGCTCAACCCAATCAATTGTGTAAGTACCAAATACCTCCAGAGACTATCCTCAAATATCCATTGCATATCAACCTTGTGACACAAGAAAAACTCATTTCAATTCTATAAATCTAAACAATAAGTTGGGCCTTCAATAAAAGCTCACCCAAGCAATCTCATTTTGGGTTCCCGCAAGGCATATAGTCAATATATGGTAAGTAGAACGAGAAGAAACAAGAAGAATATACGAAAATTGTTTGCATTTGTTATGCGAACAAAGCGACGACTATATGCTATATGAGCTGTTCATGCAAAAGCACGAAAGGCAAGCAATAAGACAAATATGTGTGTGTACATGAGGCTTGGTGAGGAAATTGAAGGAAAAAAGGAAGAAAATAATTTTCAATTTTCATAAAAAATTGCTTTTAGATGAAAAAGAAATTTTCGAGGGTTTTTGTGACACGTGATTATGATAACTACGCAATTTTGGTTTGTTTTGTTTGGAAGATCTTCTTTTTAAATTTGGAATTGCGTTGGATTTGGTTACGTTGAGCAAATGTGGGTGAATTGTTTTGGAGAGATTATTGAAAAAGTTGCTGATTGTATTGATTTTTTTGTTGAAGGTGTTTAGTGAATTTTTTGAGTCTGGTGCAGAATGTTCAATTTATATCCTGCAGCAGTCTTTCTAAATCTTTGATACACGAACTTCTTATGGTAAATATGTTGCGTCTTGCAGAGACTTTTGTTTTTTTAATATTTTTGAAATTTTCCAACAATACCCAAAAGGCACACATCCTATACAATGTGATATAACCTCATATCCCCACGCAACATCCACAAAAGCGTCATCCACATCCGAAAACCCAATTCAAAATAAAATTGCCAATAAACCGACAACAACTCACAATGCATATCTAGTACAAAGGACGTTTCCTTAGGCTCTACAAGTTTTGTATTAGACGCTTGACATGTAAATATAGAATTGAGATCATTTCTCTGTATTTGAGGCCACAGGAGTCTATTTTCAATCACATCGCCTGAGTTGTGCTCATATTGATCATCTACGGGTAGTCCATTTATGAGCCATCGAACTGTTGGTTGAGGCCGTCCTGTAAGAAGAAAATAAATAAGGTAAATGATTTGAAAAAAAAAGTAGAGCTGGAAGTGAGTGAACATGAAATGTTGCTACAGCTAAAGAAAACATTAAAATTGTTGTAATAAATTCCACTTCAAACTGAGATGGAATAAAAATGTTAATTTCTTGATGCCTCAATGGTATACAGTACAAGAAAGTATAGTACAGGGTAAAAAATGAAGGGAGGTTGTAGGAGGTGGATGAAAAAGGAACAAAATAAAGTTGTTGATGAGAAAAAAAAAGATTTAATTGCTTTTTTATGTAAATTAAACTCAATTTTGATTGCATCAACAACAATGAAAGCAAAGCCGTTTGTTACAGTGGAAAAAGTTTAACAGTTAAAACTTTTTTTAGTTTCTCGCCTGCCATTTTATACTTTTAGCATTGCTGTAAGTTAAAATGGAAAGTTTAGATGCTTATTTTGTCTATTTGACTAAAGTTTAATTCTATTTGATGCATGGAAAGTTTGTAATAAGTAAGTTCTTTAAGGTTCAATGGCAATATTAAGAATGAAGGATGATCCATCTTCGCACCTGGATCAAAAGTAGAATTTAAGAATTTGAAATCCAAGAATCAATCTATCTACATTAGGTAGCGTCACATCCAACATTATCCTCAAATTACTCAATTATAATCCTTAACTTTTAAAAACAATTCTGTTTTCATCTATTAAGGATATATGCATGCATCCATTAATCCAAACAATGACTGCATTGTAAAGACTTTTCCGTGTCGCTTTTCATCTTTTCGGCTGGTTCGTTGAAAGTAAAACTTTCAGAAACTCGCTCATTGCCATCCGTCGACTGCTTTTTTATAGTCCAAGAAGTTGAAATTTTACGGTTTAAGACGTTTATTGCTTTCGACTTTCAAAGTTTATACCTTTTTGAACGAGATTTAAAATACTCTATTGTGGTCGCTATTTGAGTTGTTGCTGGCTTGCTCAATTCTTTTCTTTCTGGTGACTAAGTTTGTTTTATTATTTGGCACTTCCAAGCTGTCACAAAAGGTAATATGGAAATTTTCATTTAAAATCTCGTTTAGTTTATAATGGAATTGAACATTTTGAACAGATTAGTTTGAGAATGGAAATAGAAAGCATTTTTGGTTTTAAATGATTAGAATTACTTAAATCTGAACCAAAATTTGACAACTTGATTTTTGAGGGGTAAACAACTACGTATTAGGTAGCTTAATAAGCGACCGACCCCTCTGAACTAATATAGTTGCGTTTTTATCTGTTTTTAAGCAACGAAGATAAGGGGCTGTTCACTTATTACGTAACGCGAAAAAATGACTTCTTAGACCCCCCCCCCCCCTCGTAACAAAATTTGTATGAAAAAAAAATTTCCTTGTTTGAATCGTAACAAAATCTTAGACCCCCCCTCCCCCTAAAAGCGTTACGTAATAAGTGAATGGCCCCCAAGGTAAACATTCAAAAAAATGAAATAAATCACAAGAGTCAATATGAAGAGAGACAAAATGCCAACAATAAGCTAATGCCCCAACACAATCGTCTCAAAATAAGAAGCATTACAAAGAAAGGTTTTTCACGTCTTATTCAAATTGCCCGTATTTCATTTTTCACGGTGACATTTTGTTGTGCTTTCTTTCCTTTTTTTTTTGTTATTCAAAGAGCTCAAAACTTTTCTTTTCTGTATTGTATTCATGTCGTATGCTTAAACAGTAGATTGCAATTGACAATAAAAATTCAATTTCTACGTGAATGAATAAAATTAAGCGATAAAAAATTGACTTTTAAGTGCTGAATAATTTTGTTGTTAAACTTTCTTTCCATTCTTATACATTTTTTTTTGAATCTCACATTAGCTTTAAATTTTAATAAATAATTCTATAGAAATGAAAGTTTATAAGGCGATGAAAATCTAATTTATATACACAAGACATCCATTAAGTTTATCTTTTTATTAGAATTATCAACTTTTTATTTTTCACTCCCATATAAAAGAATTATCAGGCACTGAGAGTACGGAATACAATGGCAAAAAACTCTTTTATATATTATTTAAAAATTTATGCATCAGAAAACTTTTACATTCGCTCGAACAGAGTTGTAGCTATGACACCCACGCATGCAGTTTATTGTTGAAAGCTTGTTGGAATGTTAAATAAACACAAAAGTTTGAATGTTTTGCTAATTGAGTAACTTAAAATCCCACAAAAAGTAAACATAATTTACAAGTTAATTATAATTTGATTCTTGTTGTGTTGTTTTCAGATAAACTTAATTGAAAGTAAAGAAAATGAAGAAACTTTAAGTTGGCGAAGGATTGAAAAGCTTTGTTGGTTTTTGGGTTTTGTTGATCAATTGCTTGGCAAGAAAAATTCATTAATTTGCTTCTTTAAAAATTCTTGATCAAATTTTAATTTGCTGTCCACATTTGCTTTCTCATGGAATGATTCGACTTCCAAGAACTTTATTGATGCAGCAATGCTTTCACCAACCTATTCATTCAAACATTTCTTTGCATGTTCTTGGAAGGCAAATTTCATTAATTATGAATTTTGGTTTATTTTCATCAAAAATAAAGATGATAATTTTTACTCGGTATTGTCCGAGCGACACACATTCGATTCTGGACTTCCAAGACTTTTATGAAATAAAAAATCTATTCCTTCAACCTAAAGCTTTGATTGTTTCCATAGAAAAACCTCAACTCAAGTATCAACCCTGAATTAATTGTCCCTAAAACTCACAACACCGTCTCATACTTTCCTGTACTGTTATTTTTTGCTTTAATTTCATTTTCGCTCCTTTTCATAACCAGCACAAAAAAAAATATTATAATCTACGAGAAACAAAAATCTAGATAAATATGTATGACAAAAATAAAGCTTACCTCCAACTACGCGACATGATAGTATAATGTCTTCTGCCTCTTGCATTGGACCAATTTTAGTGCTATTCAGTTGTCGTCCCCATCTATCGAGTACAACAGGCGATTCAGGTAAAACTACGTTTATTATCATTATTATTACGTACGAAGAAGAAATAGATGAAATTGAAATGAAAATGAAAAAGAGAAGAAAAAAAAGGGAAAATTAGAAAATGTTTTTATATATGTTTATATAATTCCTTGATAAATGACATTTTCTGCCTAGGTAAGCAAGCAATTGGCAAAATAGTAAAGTAGGGTATGAGAGAAGAATATTTATTTATCAATATAGAAAATAATACAGGAGGACATCAACTTTGTGGAAAAAGAATTTTTCAACAATTTTTTTCCCAATTGCTGACCGAAATTGATGGAAAATAAATGTCACTAAATCATTTTCCCATCAAGTTGTTGTCCCCCTGACTAGATATTTTTCGATATATAAATAGTTATTGGGTAGGCAAGAAATTAAATTAGATTTCATCGAACATGTATACACATACACATATAAATGTTTTGTTATCGAGTGTGAAAGGCATAAATACTCCAATTTCGGTTCCCTCTTATTCATTCATTTCATCTCTCTCATGTATGTTGCTCACATCTTCGTCTCATTTTCTTTAAGAACGAGAAAAGGCATTAAATTGAAAAAAGAGGCAACTTGAAGCAAAATTAGGCTTTTGTTGTGTTCATTTCCAGGAAATGTTGAAGATGATATCGAAAATTGGTTAGACAGAATGTTTGACTGATGATTTACTTAATTGTCTGATGGAACTTTGACTGATTATTGGGATTTTAGACTTGCTATTGAAGCAAGGTCTTGGTACTGAATGATGAGGATATCTGGAGCTTTTTGATTCTTTTACAATCCAGATTTGAAGCTTTAGATGTTAATTTCACAATCGGGAGCACTCATCAGCACTTCAGGGTCGCTATGGTCTACAGCAGTTCAGGGTCGCTATGGTCTACAGCAGTTCAGGGTCGCTATGGTCTACAGCAGTTCAGGGTCGCTATGGTCTACAGCAGTTCAGGGTCGCTATGGTCTACAGAAGTTCAGGGTCGCTATGGTCTACAGCAGTTCAGGGTCGCTATGGTCTACAGCAGTTCAGGGTCGCTATGGTCTACAGCAGTTCAGGGTCGCTATCGTCTACAGCAGTTATGAGTCATATAAGGCAACAACCTTATCGAGTATCTCCATACATCCTCTCAAACAAGACCGTTAAAATTTTCACATCAACAGCATCTGTCTCATTCATTTTCCCATCCTCTATGTTTAAATATACATAGGAATAAAGGAACAGATAGAAAATCCGGATATAAATGTGAGCATTGCGGAGTAGGAGAGCGCAATAAAAAAATAAAAACGTACAAAAACTATAATTTTAGCACTTAATCAATACATATATCTTCATGGTGTTGAGAATGCGTGTCGTTTGCTATCGTCAATGCCTTATTACTCAATTCACCCATACAAATAGATAGAAGGAATGGAGATGAAAAAATATGTGTTTTATTCATTGTACTGTGCTTTGTCGAGTGGCTATTGTGCCTTTCTATTGTCTCCAGTTAATTAATTTATATTCTCTGTCGATGAACTTCGTGGAGATTTTATTTTTCATTGTGTGTGAATTATTTGATTATCTTATTTCGTAGCTAAAGAAATGGATTAAGAATTATTGGAATTGATTTTATGAAGAAAATTTATATTTTTAACATTTTTGGAACATTTTTTTTAACTTTTTGGAAGTGTTGCATTTCTAGAAGATAAAGAGCATTGAAACAGATGCTAAAACCAAGCTTAAACCTATCAAAACTTATATGTAACTTAGCTACTAGGTTCTTAGCTACTACATTCTAAACTACAAGGTTTTTTGCTATTAAGTTGTACCCTACTAGGTTCTTAGCTATTAGGTTCTTAGATACCAGGTTCATGGCTACTAGGTTCTTTGCTACTAGGTTCTTAGCTATAAGGTTCTTAGCTATTAGGTTCTCAGCTATTAGGTTCTTAATTACCAAGTTCTTAATAGGCTCTTAGCTATTAGGTTCTTAGCTTTTAAGTTCTTAGCTCCTAGGTTCTTAACTACTTATGAGTACGAAAAAAGCTAACCAAGGTTTGTGAGTCACTTCAACTTCCTCCTTATTTAGCTTCATCAATGAGCTGAATTCAGGGCTGAATTCTAAAACTTCATTGACATTCATTAGACATTCCTTAACTCTAATTGCTCTTTTATTATGAAATATTCATGTTAAACATTAGTTCAATTCAAAATCGTATTAAATTCCATTCCAATTGTAATAATAATCATACTCTTAAAACAGCTCATTCAGCACAAAATTCTCATTGACAATTCTTTCATGTCAACTTCCCATAATTTCCCAGTTTCATATTTATAACAAATACCGGAGGCAATATATCCCTCATTATTTTCATTATGCTAACTGTACAATATTGTACACATTGACCGATTTATCACAAGTTAGTAAAAAACAAGGAAGAAATCACCTTTAAGGCATTGGGATGTAAAGATTGAAGTTAATCTTAATGAGAATTTTTTTTGTCACTAAACATTCGATAACGCACAGTACGTAATAGGAAATAGGCATAGATGCCAATATTTTAATAATGTGAAAAGGAGCAAGCGAGGCACAGCAAGACTGAAGAGAATTTAATGATTCAGTATGTGTGCGTGTGTCTGTCAAATAATAATTGTAATGGGACAATAAATAAGAAATATCGAATCTTTGCCTTTTCTTCCGTTCGATTCCGATGATTTCTTCTTTTGTTCCTCAATTGATCTTTCATGATAAGAGAACTTTATGTTTCGAAAGAGACTTTATGCTCAAAAGATGTTATCTATACATTATGTAGATGGCAAATAAAGTTTACCATTCATTTTTCATCTTATTCTTGTAGGGTTGTAGTCAGGGGGGGGGGGGGGGAGGTGGATTGATTTGGTCCGTTGAGTAAAACCCCCATTTCCTCCTAGCTATGCCCCTGAGTTTCAGAACACCCATGCGCCTCTTTTGATATTTTATTATTTTTTCATTCATTCATTCAGGCAAAATGTTAGCATTTTCATGATGTGAACTTTTAGTGCCGTAGTAATGAAATGTTTCAGATTTTTCGATAGACTTTGAGTGTGATTGTTCATTTATGACATAAAAATTTGTAGGAATTTGATGAATATAATCGAGAAACAAAGAGATTGATGGGGAAATATAGGGACAACTTTTTTACGGCCGGTTCTATCTGATTTGATGTTCATTTGTTTTTGGAATGTCCTGAATTTGTTTATTCAACTGTTTTGTATGTAAAATTTCAGATAAATCTATCGACTTTAATGAATTTTTGATACGATGTTAGTATGTTATATGTGCAAGGTTGAGTCACTTGGCGATCTAAGGTATGATTTTGATAAAAATTGAGGATGAGGGTTCGATTCCCACCAGTGACTTACTTCCTTAACAAACTTCATTATCCGAGAGTTATATCAAATAACAGAACCTGCTGTAAAGTTTTCTGAATCTTAAAACTTTTACTAGCCTCATTGAATGAACATAAACTCAGCAAATGTGATTGATTTTTTTTTCAGCTACACTGTTCTTCTGTCTCCTTCCACCACTACTGTACTATATTGTCAATGTTTTTGTTTTTCCCAAAACGCTAATAAAAAAAAATCGAAGGACAATGTTCTCGTTTCGACATGTGCATAAATAACACATCTGTATGGATGTATTCATATAGTCTTATGCTATAAAGGTTAGAAATTCAGGGTTGCTGTTTTGGGAGTTCTTTAAGTACCTGTGTGAGTTGTGCAAAGGAAATTGTTCAAAATTAATATGAGAGGAATTCATGACATTTAATCATATGAAGAAGTAAAGATGTGAGTTGGGGGAACATGGATGGGGGTTGTCAATCAATTTTTCATGACCTTATTGAAGCCCATAAGTTTTTGAATTCAAGAATCAGTCGACAGCTGCTCGGCAATTACCATCACATGTCAGCTAAGAGGAGTAATAATAAATTTTGGGGAGGGGGAGTTGTTTTAATTTTTGAGGGGGGGAACAAGTTGCTCAAAGTCCATAACCTCAAAATCCAACTCTGCTCAGCAACCCTGAATTTCTGGAAAATAAAAAATCTCATGCATAAAAATCGTACTCACTTATAACTGATAAATTGTATGTGTAGCTTTGCGTTTGACTCTTTAGAAAGTCAATTCGACAACGATAAACTCCTTGATCATGTCGTTTGATATCCTACGAGAATAGTTGAAAGAGAAAATACAATAAAATATGGAGGTACAATATAAAAGGCTGTAGAGAGCACCGAATTGAGTTGAGTGAGTGAGGAGATTAAAGATAAATGCTTTTGCTTGCTTTCTGCCTTTCGCCTTGTCTTGATCGAACGAAAATCTAGCACATGTAAAAAATTTCTAATATCCATAAAGGAACACAACATATATAGCAGCGGAAACTTTTCTTTTTACGTTCCTTGTGATGTATAATTTATTCAATTCTGTTGCGATTCGTCTTTCGTCTTTGTGATGTATGAAGATGTAGAAAATTTATCGTGTTTCTGATAAGCATTGTACTGAATGAAATTTCACTTTGACTTTAGGATTCAAATAGTTGTTTGATTTTATGGCTTTAGGTAAATCTTCATAGTTAAGAGACTAAAAGATTGCACAAAACTTTCAATTTAGTTTGAGTGTTTTTCTTTTTTCGAATTTTAGGGTTTTTTTATTGATACTAAAATGAGTCGTATGGTGAAAATGGAAGTCATATGATATACTTCATTAGTTTTAGTGCATTGACTTCCGTGAAGGATTTACTATTTTTTTGTAAATCTATTTCTTAATTAATCTGATAGTCTTGTTTCAACTCTTCACGGTTCATATCTTGAGAAATCTGTCAGTGCCAAACATCTAATGATCGAGTTTTTAGAACAGACTGGAAAACCTTCACCCTCGTTTTTTTGAAAATTTGAGTTTGATTCTTACAAAAGGATGAGTATTGTCGATAATCTGAGCGACTAGAAAGTAAATTAGATGATGCTGTTTGTTATTCTCATCTACGTTTCAAGTTCCTGACCCAGTTCTTAATCCAATGTTACCCAAATGCTAAGCTATGGCTTGATCTCGTTCATGAAGCAGTCGAAGTATTTAAACTTTAGAAAAAGAACAAATTCGAAAAACAGCTGGATTCGAACCCACGACCTTCGAGTTACCATAACAAGTTTTAGTCAAGCGCCTTACCTATTCGACCAGTAAGGCACTTAATTGCTTTTATTGCTAGTGAACAGATATGCTAGCTGTTCTTTTGTCACTGTGCGATGTCACTCTAGCATATTTAAATGAATTACAGACATTTGCCAACTGACATTTGTCTACTCTACATATGCCCACTGGTACTTTTGCCCACTGGTAGTTTTACCCACTGATATATTTGCAAATGTCCCAAACCCATTTAAATTTATCAGCCTGCAAAAAATCACAAAAAATGCCTCACAAGTCATTCGCCTATACAGACTTCATTACTTTCCTCTTTTCTACATGTGTACATATCTTATCCACTCAATAATAATAATACGAGAAGAATATTCAAGGAACGATATAAAAAATTCTTTCTTCGTTTCTACAAAAAAAATCAAGAAGAAATGACGAAAAAAAAAGTTGAAATAAAATTCTCTTGCGGCTTTGAAGTGAAAATTTGAGCAGAAACTTTTGCTAGAATGAATCTCTATCCATTCTTCTTCCTTTAAAGGTGATACCTCAAAATGTCAGTAAAAATGTGGAACGAAGAAGCAAAAAAAAAAATTCATGAATTTTCAAAGAACAGGAAAGAAGAGGAAGAACTTTCATTGCCGTGTTAGATGAATGAAAGCGAGAAGAAGTTTCAGTCGTTCTCCCTGACTGGCTTCATTCATTGCTGCTCTCTCTTTTTTGTCATAATGCGCAATTGTTAGAAAATTCAAAAGGAAAAACTTAACACAATAAGAGTAATAGTCAACAGCAACGTATGGCATGTGCAACAAATAGATTATTGTGTTGCTGCACCTAGAATACGGAGTTTCAAAATCATAGTTCGAATGTAATTTCGTTAGATTGTATGGTATGGTAGCCAGAAAGCAGGCAAGCAAGTTAGCAATGACATTTGTATGGAAACAATGTATGTCGACTGCATTGGTTATGGACTCAAGGGTTGGATGCTTCTTGAGAATTTAGAGTGTTCAAGATTTGAACTGTCAGAACTATTAGAGTTTTAACGGATTTTTCTAATTCAAAATTTAACAACTTTTTAAGGTTCAAAGTTTTTTAAATTTTAAAAACACGTTAAATAATTTTTCTTACAAAAACTCAATTAAATCCACCAAATGAATCTTAAAGCTACCTCAACTTATTCTTAATAAACCCACCAGCAAAGCATTTTCCTCCCCTTTCTTGAATAAATAAATATCCAACGAAGAATTTTGTTTCTCGTACTTTATTCTGCCTCAATCATCCAACTCACTCTCACCCATGTTGTGCTCTTGTAAACAATAACAAGGACGTGCTGTAGATATTCTATTGAATCCTAATTACATTTCAAACTTACCTTAATTACTAACGATTCAGGTTTATTGTCAATGGAAATGTTGGCACGTGATCCGAAGACTTCGGGTGCGGACCAATGTTTTGGTTGGTGTTGTGAAGTTTTGTCTCGCATATCGACGCTACAGAGATGGAAAATAAAAGAGAAGAAGATGATGATGAATATAATGGAATATTGTTGTGGTGGCATATGAGGAAATAGAAAAAGTTTTCGGAAGTGGGAAAAAAAGTTTTAAGATTGATAAATTTGTGGGAAAATTTCATTGAGAATTGAGGATATTTGACGCATAATGTCATTCTTGGAGGAAGCAGAATTGATTAAAATTCTAGTTCGTTGTTTTAAACGATGAGGGGGGGGGGGGGGGGGGGGGGAGGGGTGGAGGGAGATCTTTTAAAGTCAAAAACGCAAAAAAAAATCAAAAAAGTGAAGTATTCTATAAGGTTAGATCTATTAAACTTTCAAGATTCGAACTTGATACTAAAGATCAAAATTTTGTATATTTAAATTTTGTGATTTTTCCTTTAATTTTTGATGATTTAAAATCCCAATAAATATGAATACTGCAATGAATAAGTCCCCAAAATGAAGACTCTCATCTATTCACTCTTACGTACTCAAACCTTAAATAGCAAGAACATTAAGAAAAGAAAAGCAACATAATTATAGTATTTAAATATAAGAAGCAAGCAAAAAGAAATTGGATGTTGAATGAGAAGCCTGAATAAACAGTCAGATCACACAGTGGAGAGAAGCCCTTCCGTACACAAAAAAGAAAGAAATGAGCCCCTTTTGTTTGCCATTCTCAATGAGACTTCTTTTTTACCGCATCATAAATAACGAGCTAAAATTTATAATCATTTTTTTTTTCGGAGAGCTTATATTAATTATAAATCCTTAATTATAAGCTCAAAAAATATTATAAAAAGAGGAAAAAGGACTTGTTTATTAAATACAAAAGAAAGCATCAGGCATGGAAACGGGGTAGAGCTCGTAAATAAAAAATAATACTCTAGAGACAGAAAAGAGATACGAGGGTTAAAAATGGTGCAGTATGATGTAAAAATAGCTGTGCTAATTGCATGCAATAATTGAATAAACTTACCTATATAGAGGAATTCCGCCATGCGCTGATTTAAAGAAGAACACCATAGAGACATCACTCAATGGCGATGATATTGGACAGTGAAGTGACGCACTCTTTCCCTCAACAGCAATCACGTCGAATATTTGTGCTATAAGTTAAATGAGAGATAAAAAAATATTAAGTATAAAGTCACAGAGACAAATGGACTCGGAAAAATTGAGATTTTAATTCATTAGCGCAGTATTATGTAAATTATAATTAAGCTTATCATTTGATGAGCATCTTGTGATTAATTGTCATGATACGGTGAGACAAATTAAATAAAATTAAAGTTAGATTGTCGTTGATTGAAGCTTGATGTGACGCATTGTTTGTGGATTGTATTAAAAATTAATTTAATTGATGAATGAAACTTACCTGCCCGACACTGACCCCCCCCCCCCCCCCCCCCAAACATACTTTAAATTTTTATGTCCAAACAGGTCACGTACTTCGTTTTGGAAAGACACACCCTTTTGAGACAAATGAAAATGTTAATTTGGATCCAGCCAGAATAAGGCTGGTGCGAGGGGATAACAACATGATGGAAAGAAGTTTTAATAGAAATTTCTTCAAGTTTTTTTAAAATATGTGTTGGATTTTTTGGCATTCATTTCATGGCATTCTACTATTGATGATGAGACCCTATCAAACCTACTTCCCATCATGTTGTTATCCCCTTGAGTTCGTTAAAATCCAGATTCATCAAGCTACGTGTGGCCCAGCGCCAGTTATTATTCAAAAATGAAGAAAAATTTCTAAGCAATCTTGTAAGTTCAGCAATATTTGCATCTCCAGCCATATTACCCTTTACCACTACTTAAATAAAAATAATTTTAATTTCCACAGCTGGAAACATCACAAAATGCCTTCATCATCACATCGTCTTCTGAAAAAAATGCACTAAAATCTCAACGTGCTCCGAGGAAGTATTTTAATTCATAATAAAAATAACAAGAAGAAAAGAAAATCAGCTCAGAGATTGAAGCTCATTATCTCGCTCTTTAACTTTTCTGATGACTTTAATTCGTTTTTATGACACTACAGAACTGCTCATTTACCGACGAAAAAAACTGCTTATCTTTATGTCCTATGGAAAATTAAATTATATACACGTATACACTACTGACTGCTTTGGATATAAAGGTAAACTTTTATAATAGTAATTGAATTGAGCCGTGAAAGTTTCAACAGTAGCATGTGCGTAGATGTGCCTTGATAACACATGTCATTCCAATACACGTGTCTTTGTATACCTACATCGATATTATATTTTTTTTTATTCAACAAATTGATGTTTTCGAAACAATAAAACGTTACTGTGCGTAAAAATTGGATGTATGTATGTTCGTTCAATTTCCTTTCGCATTATATCAGACATCAATGTCGGACGAGTGGATAAAAACAACAGAAGTTACATTGATGAGAAATCAATCTTGGACATGATTTTGTTTATTTCGTAATCGCATTTTTTCGAGAAAATTAAGTTTTTGAATTTTTTTGTTCTGTTCATTTTGGGTGGTTTGATGACTGACTTAGTTGATTGGACTTTTTTTTGGAACTGGGGATGTAAGTGCTTCTAAAATTGTGCACCACAATACATCACAAATACTGATTGTTTAGCTCAAAAAAATCTAATTCAGTGACTGCTTTTAAGGACTGCCCTAATCACAGTTTATTTTGATATATAGCCTAATGTAGGTGCCGGTTTCTTAGGCTATGTAAGAAAGTCTTCCCTATGTAAGTTGTTCATGGTGGCATTAAAAATCGGAGATCCAGCTCAAATTTCCAGATTTCTGGGAGAAAGTTTTAGAAGTAGACCTTCACCAGCCCCCTAAAACTAGACCTATGTCCTTAATATCTCTGCCCTCTTAACAATATTCAAAAGTGTGCTAATTTAGCCAATTAAGATATTTTTGGAATTAATTTCCCTCCCAAACTAAACGTTTGGAAGAAGTGAAACTTTATTAATCCTAAAGGTGTAGTTTTTGGTGAACAAATTAGTTGTGATTGTTGAGAATTGATGCTGAGTTATGTATGGTTCAGTCCTTGTGCTGAGAGTCTGAACAGTTAAGTCTGAATGTTTAATAGACCTGCCCTCCTTCCCGAGGTTCAAGTTTCTCAAATTATCCTTAATAACCTTTTGATAATCAAAAATATTCAAGTCAGACTTAAATTTCGTTCAACATCCAAAAAATTTGCTCCTATCAACATAAATCCTTAATATGCACTTTTTGTCAACCTATTTCAAGCAAACACACAACTTGTCTAGTTCTTCTTACTTTATAGCATCATCCTATATATTTTCCCAATTTATTTCGATGGATATAAAATCAAAGGAAATGGACACGATAGTGTTAAACCGTTCAATCAGTATCAGCACTATATGCAGAAATATGTCTTAATTAAATATACACACTAAATAGACATAAGATAAGAAGAATGAGGGGTTGGGAAGTGAGATTGAGTTAAATGTAATGGCAAAAGAATAATGTAAAAGGGAAGGGAAATAAGTTTGACCTAACCAAATGTGGGTAAACATCAGAATGGATATTTATTGAAACCGACGAACATGAGAGATCAAAATTAATTAGAAATGCTCCTACATGTATACACAATAAACAGATAGATATGAAAAAAGAGCACACATCGACCAAATAAATAGAGAAATAACACAAACACATAAGGGAAATTAATTAAAGGAATCGTGAGTTTATGAGATTAGGCCTTAGCGATTAAATGAAATTAATTTTTCCTCTGCCATCTTCCTACCCATCTCTCAACTTCTTTTTACAGCCATCGTCATTTTTATTCATGTTGTGCTTTGATTGTTATATTTGCATAAACCAGTGATAAAAGTAATGAGGAACTGTACAATGGCAAATGATAAAAATCTTTCTTCTTTTCTTTCATTTTTACTTCCTTTTTAACGCCCATAAAGATAAAGAACGGAAAGAGAGGAAATATAAATGAAATTTATTTCGGAAAATTTGTTCATTATTTTCAAAAGTTTTTTCATCATTATTTTGGGCATTGATTTTCTTTTTTTTATTTGCCTTTTTAACGTTCTTTGTTGGTGGTGCTCGGGGTGTTGATGTTTTTTATGGTTTTGTCTGGATGACCAGAGTGGTATTGTGAATTTCAACAAAAGGAATCTCGCCAGATTTTAAAGTTTTGAGGTTAAATGATCTTTGGGGTATGTTTTTTGAGATTTGCCACGTTCTAGAGAGTAAGGCGGCTTTGAAACATCAGTTGGATATTATTTTTTTTGGTAGGAAACGATCTCACAGTTTCATTAATTAGGAGCATTCAAGATTTGAGATTTCCTTAAAGAAGTGTTGTCCAAACTTTTTGAGCCACGGCACACCTTGATAGTAAGCCATGTTCAAAACCGCACAGAGCGTAAGGTTCGTGGTATTTTAAAAAATTACGGCACACAGTTTGGACAAAATTACCTTAAAGGGTTTTAAAACGCACATCCAGGTCGATCAACTTTATTTTGATGAAAAATATCTTTAATTCATAGAAAGCCACAACCTTCCTCCCATCCAAATTTTAAGTAGATATGACATCCCTTTATAAAATCCTAATAATGATGACTAATATTTAAAACCTAAGATTGTATAATGTCAAGCACTTTCTACTCAAAAACATATAAAATTCAAAATAAAAGAATCAACCTTAATAAAATAAAGTCAAACCAAATTCATAAAATGTCAAAAAATAATAAAACGTTTTATTAGTTTCATTCCCAGAACCATCAGAAGTCCTCTTTAGAGTAAAACATGAATTCATCAAATTTCTGTGGTTTAAAGCTATTTAGCCTCTTTAAGTAGCAATCCAGAAGAATGATTTATACGGTGAATGGTTAAAATAGGATGAATCAGAGATGGTGTTTGGATGCTACTGGTGTCTTGAATCCTTTGATGGGCTCTAACCCACCATTTTTAAGGATTTCAATTTTTTACAAACACAACCATTCTAAAATCTCTAAATATTACAGAAAATAATTAGGAATTTCCTCAGCATCTCAATCCAAATTGCTCACGTACACAAGCAATTATAAAATGCGTCCAATTCCCCAACAGCAGTTAAAGAACAAAACTTTTCATAATTTTCTTTAAACGTTTTCCTCTTAAAACTTGATCTAAAGTATTTTACACCAGAGGATGCCTACACTTTCCGTCCAATGAAGACATAAAAGAAGCAATTAAGCAGGAGAAGTAAATGATAGGGTCAGTTCATTCACAAAAAACTTAATTTCCTCTTGAATATCCTCAATCATTTTTCCTACACAATCTTCTTCATCTCATCACTTTCAAAACAATTCAAGACATTGCTAAAGATGGTAAATGAATTTTTTTATGACTCTGTTAATTTCACATCGATGCTTGGCTTTTGTAAATTAAAATTGAAGAAAATTTGGTTCAAGAAAGGGTTTTCGAGAGGAAAAAAAAAAGTAATTTAATAAAGGAAAGTTTCTTTATTTAATGTGAATCCACACATACAGCTGTATACGCACTTAACCCCTTTTGTATAGAAACTTTAATGTTGTTTCTGAAAAGTCTTTTGAACTGTAAATTTATGGAATAAAAAACTGTGAAAGTTTCTTGGAATATAGAAAATTATAGCTTATAGCTTGATGGGGTGTACTTTATATTCTGATTGTAAGTTAATCTCTTGCTAATGATTTTCAGGAAGTGATTGATCAAAAGGTTTCATATTCCCGCAGGGATTCGGTTTATGTTTCGTAATTTTCTTTAATGCTCAAAATTCGCTGGAAATTTAAAGTGTTTTTACACTTTTGATATCAGATACTCAAAATTCGAAGCTGTTTGCACGTGTCTTACACTTTTAAAAATAGACGTCTGACGAATTCTTGTTCCTTTATTTTTGAGAACGATTGGCAATTGTAAAATGAAAGAATTGTCCTTTTTGCATCTTTTTAAGGCTTTGCATTTCAAATAATTAGAACATTAAGATATCGATTTTGGACTTTGAATCAATTAGAGTTGAGTTTCGTGGATTTTAGATTATTTTCGTACTGGCTGTCTACCAGAGGGCAGTTTAAAAGGGTATCTGAGCTACTTTACTACCTTATGAGTTCTA